ATCTCATTTAGGTTCACAACGATGGTGCAAAAATAGCTATTATCAGCCACATTTTACTCAACTTTTAGGGTAATTCTTCCAAAGTCATGCAGTAAATGTCAGAACTGCATTTTGAGCCCAGGGCTCTGTCCTAGCCTAAGCCTGTGCCCTTAAACACTACTTTAATGTCTTCTCTACAAAGGGCTGCCTCCCAAAATGTCTGCTGTGAAACCACTAGGCAACTGTTTTAGTAATTTACCAAATCCAGCTTCCATGCACCTGCATTGGTTGAAACTGGTTGAAGTGACAACCCAGAAAATTGTATGGTGTTTTTAAGAGCTTTTTCATATCTTCCAATGCCATCTTATGCCAATATGAAAGCACTGTAAGTGTTTTGTTTTATTTTTGTTTGGTTGGTTTTTTTAATACAGAGTTGAATGTACTGTTCAATGACTTAAAAATGTTACTTTTAAAGTACAAAAGCAAAAGATGAATCTGAAGGCTTAAGAAGGCTGAAATAAAGATTCTATTCATTTCTAATGTTTGTAAGATATTTCATATACCAAGAATTATTTTAGCCATTCTAGAACTCTTAGTAAATACATGTTTCATCTACAACCTTTTTTTTAACCTTTGAAAGATGTATTACATGACAATTACAACATTTTGCTTTAAGGGGAAGAAATTTGTTCAACTATTAGCTTGCTTATAAACATTAAGTTTATCAGTAAAATAAAACCTTCCTGATCACTGAATTTTTTTTTGAACCACTAACTGCAAGAGTAGTTGATTTACAAATCTGGTATTTCCTTTCATCATTTCTGTTACAACACTGCCTCAGAGCATTTGTGTAGAAGATCCCATTAGTTCAAAATTCAGAGGGTTTTCTGGGAAACTTGCTTGAATGATGCTTTACTGAATTTATATCAAGCTCTTGCTGCTATTTAATTTTATTTCTGTGGATGGGGTTGGTCCTTCCAAAGGGCTGTATACTGGCTCAGAAAGTAAGTGGGTCTTTTGTGGATAAAGAAGGGTCAGCAAATAATGGCTGGCCACCTGCTGTCATACGGCCTATCAGCTAAGAATGAGTTTACATTTTTAAGTGATGGAAAAGAAACAAGAATAATAATGTTTCACATGTGAAAATTACATGAAATTCAAAGCTCATTCTCTATAAATAAAATCTTGCATTTATGTAACACCTGTGACTATTTTCAAAACACAAAGACAGTTGAGTAGTTGCTACAGGCCCACAAAGCCTAAATTATTTATTCCCTGGCCCTTTACAGAAAACGCTGGCTAACCTCTGGTGTAAAGAAGAAATACAGTTGTAGAGAAGCTCTTTTAGGCACCAGACATCTTCAGTATTTGGGCTGGTTTCTTTTTTTTTCTTCTTACCCTACAGTTTTAGAATGTATAGTTTAGGATAGTCAGTTTTCTATATGGATAAGAATTAAGCATTTGAGCTGTTAACATTAAACTGTTACAGAAATTACAGAATAAATAAACTCTGTGACTGGAAAGGGACTTAGAATCACCTATATTCAAAAATGTGCCATATACTTTTCTTGTCTTCTGAAATCAAATTCGTTAGACATACCACAGCCTTCCTCCATTGCCTGGGAATTAACATCATGCAAGCTGGGATTGGTGGTTTGGAGGGAAGCTTAGGACACAATACAGGTGTCCTAAACAGGGGCATCTCTTCCAGGTGATGATGTGCCGTGTGGCTGTTCACCCTGGAACTTGCTTTTTTAAACAATTCCTGAAGCCAACTTGTTTTTTGGTCCTTTGCCCTTTTGCATAGATGGCGTAAAGTTCAGGCAGCCGGGTGCCCTCCCGAATAATGCAGTAAGAAACTGCCTTCCTGAATATTGAATTAGCAGGTTCACATCTGAGGTCAGCTTCTTCCACATGGCTTTTCCTACCACCACCCACCTCAAAAATTATCTTCTTCACTTTTGCTGTCAGCGTAGTTAGACTCATCTGTACCCAGCAAAGCCATGTTTGTTTAATCTAGACATTCCCCAGGGCTCAGCAGCCTGTGAACATAAACAAAGTCACTTTTACAACATTAACCCACATTTTCTATTCCTGTTCTGATGCTCACAAAGACTTCTGGTCCCCATTTCTTCCCACAACCCCCCAGCAATGTATTTCTAGAGGTCCCCAGAGATGTCCCCATGTGCTCAAGGACTTGTCAGCCCAGTCACCCAGAAGCATTTGCCTCACTCCACTTCTCACGTGAGGGAGCTCAGGGCTGCCCTGTGAGTGGTAACCGCTGTGGGGAATGCCCTCCCATCATGCGCCCTCCTACTCAAAGCTCCCCAAACTGCTAACTCTACAAGCACCAGAGCTGGGCAGCAGTTCAAGCAGAAAGGGGAGAAATATCTCCCAAAATTGCACAGCTCTTTGCAGCTAGCTATCCCAAGCTTACAGCATATGTCCAGGGGCTCCCAAGGATTCCCACAGAAACAACTCATTCCATTATCACTTTGAAGATTGGGATATTTAATTCCATTTTAAAGAGTGGAAAAGGAAACTCACAGAGGAGAACCCAGTGTCATCTGTGGGTGCCACCAGGACCCAACTGCAGGTCGGCTCCAAAGCTTTGTTGGTCCTATTGCTTTTCCAGTCTGGGGTTTGGTCAAGTTCTAATTTTCTTCCATCTTTCAAATCTTTTAGACCTCTCTTATTTATCTATGCTCTAAATCTTTTGATAATGAGGCATCAAGCATCTTATTTCTAATCTCTTATGGAAATACATATGCAGTACTGACCTACAAGGTTTTAATTGGCTAATTACTTCAAATCTTTAAGGAAAAAATTCCCTGTACCTATTTGAATACTTCCAAAGTTTTAAAAATTATGGAAGGCTTTACAGTTATTTGATCACCATAGCAGAGCTCTGATATAAAATCTCACAAAGATAGTGCTGAAAAAGATAGAAAATGAGAGGACAATTCTTATTCACAATATAAGTGCATAAAATTCTACATTAAGTGTTAGCAAATTTAATCAAGCATACATTAATGAGACTAATACACCATAATTAAGCAGGTTTTATTTTAAGAATTCAGGAATGATCAGAGGAAAAAATATGAAAATCCTAATGTGTGTTGGCACAGAGAAATTTACAACAAAATAGTAACGGCGGTCACACTGGATGGTGGGGTTGTAGATTATGTTTATTTCTTCCTTTTGTTTCTCTGATGTCATTTGAAATATAACAAGGAGAAGATTTTATTCACAACAGCACAAAAAAAAACCCAAAACCCATAAACTACGTAGGTGGCATTTAAGAAATCTGCAATACCGATTTGAAGAAACTTTAGCAAGTTTACTGAAGAGGATTCTACTAATCAGGGAGATCTTATGGCAAAAGCAAATGCCAAGTCTCTGTAAAATAATCTCTTAATTTAATACAACTTCAACTGAAATTTCAAGGAACTACTTTGAAACTTACAAAAATGATTTTTTAATTTATTTTGATAGAATAAATATAACAGACAACAGTTTAAAAAAAAACAGAAAAGAAGAATAATGAGGGAACACTCATTCTCCTATGTACTAGAACAAGTTTTAAAGTCACAGTATTAATACAGCATGCTAATAGCAGAGCAGAAAAATTCATGTAACAGAAGACTAGAAATAGGTCCACATATCAATAAATAGATTATAATGGTAGCATTTAAATCAATGTGGAAATGATCATAAATATATATAGAATAATTTTCTAACTAAAATAAATTTCAATTGAATTAAAGTTAGATGTAAAAGATGAAACCACAAATGGATGCTGTTTGCTGTTTCTTTTTCTCTCCCAGTTCTTTCCCGCCAAATCTGAAGGATAATATTATATTCAACATACCAATCTATATCAAAGATAAATTTCCAGATGATAACAAAGAAAATACTGAGTCATGGTCCTTCTCTTGGGAAAATGGCAGTGCCTTTTAGAGGAAAAAGAGCATCTTGCTTTTGTGGTGATCCACCATTACATAGAAGATTTTAATAATCTGACAAAATATTATGACTTTACATTTGTGAATATCCTTAGGGTTTTTTAACAGCTAAAGCTGTATATTAATACCCAAACATCTTCTCTTAAGCATCATTGCATTTTTTAATGAAAAAAATCCTTATTTTTACAGATCTTCACAATTTTTTATTTTAGGAAGGAGGAAAAATACACATTCATTGATAGCACTGCCTGGGATTGGTTTTCAACCTAAGACAGAGCTTGAGACAGAGATTCTTGTGAAATGATTGAGAAATAGATCTCAGAAGAGGAGAGAGGGAAACAGGAGAGTGCAGGGGAGAGGAAGGTGCAGGATGTGGTCTTAACTGGCACCTGGCTGCTGCCTGGCCCCGTAGGACAGCTCTCCAGGACAAACCATACACAGATGAGGTCCTTCCTTGAGAAAAGGGGGTCATCCTTTCATGCCTTCTGACAGTCAATCAGAGCTACAGGCTTCCCCTACTGGAGGGAGGAGGAGAGCAGCCTTAATTTCCCATAGGAGGCACAGGGTCCACACAGGTACCAGGAGACACAGCCAAGGTGCACAGGCCCAGTGAAGGGAGGAGGTAGGGCTCATGTTGCTTCTTGGACTGAATTTGAATTTCAGATAAACAAAGAATAATTTTTTAATATCAGTATGGTTCATGCAATATTTATATTTCAATATTTACATTTATATTAACATACAATAATCTTTTATATGACATAACTCATTCCAGTTTCTGTTATGTTTATATAATATGTCATAACTAAGAAGTACCTGCTGCTCATCTGAAACTTCACCTTAACTGAGCATCCTGTATCTTCCATTGGCCACCCTAGCTGGGGCTCCAACACCATGTCCTCCAATAGTTCACAAGTGCCAGGCTCCTTTATGGAAATTACTTCATTTAGACTTTAGAATAACTGTGAGGAAGTAGTAGCATTTTCGTCATATTACAAATGGGGAGAGTGAAAGATCGCAGAGAAATAACTGGCAGAAGCAGAATGTAGGCCCAACATGACGCTCCAGCCAGACTGCACAGTCCCCACCAGCTACTCTGAACAGGACCCTCCAATTCATTCTCCCCCATCACACCAGATCCTCAACCAAGGCTTAACCAAGAGGGAGGAATCCCAAGTAGGAAAGTACTTACGTGAATCCTAAGAGAGATGGGAAAACTCCCCACTCACCCCTTTCCTTCCAAGCAGGCATCTTGCATAGTAAAATACTCTCTGCACTTACAGGAAGGGCTCTTCCTGCTTAAGGCAATGTTGCTTAGAACCAAGAGAGAGGAGCAAACTGAAATACCAGGTCTGAAATGGAAACACCCTTAGGCCCTTCACTCAGCAGAGCCACCTCCTACTAAAGCAAAAAAGCCTTCTAAAATGGTAAGCTCCAGACTCAGGGCTAAGCTTTGTAACAACAGATGGACAAGGACATAATCTACTGAAAGGGTTTCAATTGGAAAGAAACAATAAAGCCAGAAGAAAAAAAACAACCCCCGGATTAAGATTCATGTTAAGCCTGGTTGGGCCTTCAAATAATTCTTGGAAGTTCTTACAGTCTCACTCAGGCTTATACATGTAAGGATAATAATATACGTCCCTTTCATCTGTTCTTCCAATTGTTAGGGATGCACATATTACATGCATGTGTGTATAGACGCACACACACACAGAGACAGAGATAGAAAGACAGAGCAAGAGACTGCAGAGATTGGAATAGACTGGAACAGAGATCTGTGAAGCCATTTAGAGCATTTGGATACCAGAATTACACATCAATGAAATACTCAACAATAATGAAAGGAGTGGCAGAGAAAAGTACCAATTAACTGTTACTCTTCCTGATGTAAAGAAGAAATTTAGCCGATATGGTATATTTGCAACTGATATTAGAGGGGTTTTTTTTCCACTGAACAAAAGACCCTAAAGATCAGAAACTCTTAACTGTTTTGTTCCCTGATGAATCCCAAGAGTCAGAAACAGTGCCTGGTATACAGTAAGCACTCAATAAACATTTGTTCAGTGAATTAAACTTCAGCTTATAAATCACCAGAGAAGATATAATCATGTTGGTTTTGCACCCAATCCAAAGAAAAAGCCAATAACTTGAACTCTGAGAACTGCAAAGAATGGGGGAGGTATTTCCGAAGCAGCGCAAACGGCATTTCATTTCAATTCTGCAAACGATGTTTCTGTGCTTAATGATGTTGCACCAAGTGTGGGAGATGCAGACAAAGAAGCAGCACACTCCTCTTCACAGAGAACCATCCAGCAGCTCTGAGTTAGTTCTCACAGACTGTGAATATCATTAAATGAATGGGCTTCCACAGTGAAAAGGAAAGCTTCTCATCTGAGTTCTGGCTGGTCTTTAGATAATTTCTCACTCTCTCTAATTTACACACCAACTCTATGGTTTCAATTTGTCCTCTTAGTTTTTATCTGTTCTGATTTCTCAGTTAGGGTAACAGGAGTGTAACTAATCAAAGTGTCCAAAACCCATTAGAAAAATCAAATGGGAGAATGAGGGAGGGTTGTGTTTGGCCTGCTTCCGTACATCCTTCTGAGAGCACCTTCTTGAAAAGATGAGACTGCTGTTGCCTGAGCCTTCCAGGCACACCTCACATGGAACTAGTTGTGTTCACCATTTCCTCATTCATTCATTCATTCATTCCAACCACTGCTGAGTACCTGGCTCTCTGCTTGCCTCTGGGCATCTAGAGATACCAATGAAGCCTGTTTTTTTTTCTCAGTGTAATAGTAAGACCAGTAAAACAGAGTCAAGCTAATTCTTAATCTATTCACTTCCCAGTACCTGGGAGTTTACCCCGTAAGATCTCAATGCTGTGTCTCCTCTGGGTGCCGGAGCGCAAACTCAGGCATCTCCACATGGTCAAGCGCCCTGTGCAGCCAGTCCACGCTACCTGCTCCTGGGGTGCTTGTCCATTTGCCCAGGGCTCTGACGTGCCAACACCGTCCATTGCCTGCACAGAGGGAATGGGAAGCTATTAAATTTCTGTGAAAGCTTTATGAAAATTGTGTGCATGTGTGAGTATGTATGTGTAAGCTATGCACAATAGCTCTACATGTACATCTAAGTGATTCTGTTTTCAAAATTCCTTTTATTTTTTCTGTCTGTAAACACTGAAGAAAGCTACTTTAAGAAAATCTATATTTTGAAAACCCCTATTATAATTCATTTTTCAAAGTAAGAGAAACTTTAAAATCTCGATCCAATCCTTAGTTTTCTTTCAAACCCCCATATGCTTTTGATTTGAAAAAAAAAGAATATATATATATGTATATGTATTATATAGGATAAGCCAAGTTTCCAAATGATGATTTAGATGTGCTTCATGATTTTTAAAGATTACTAGATCTAATAACATTAAGTCAATATATCTCTTTTGTAACTTGGGTGAATTTTTCTCCTACTCTTTCAAAATCACGTCTCTTAGAATTAAGGGCTATCTGACATTCTCTTGGATTTCTCATCCAAGACATACATGTTTTCTACATATCTTTGAAGCACATCAATTTAAAACTGTTGAAACAGCAGCTTAACCTCCCCTTCAGCTCAAGGGCTTTGAAGTTCACCAAACGATGAATCCAGCCTGACTTCTTATTTGTATTGACCAAGTTTCTTCCTTATGCTGCCTGGAGCCCAAATCTTCATTATCTATAATAAGATTTTAGGAAAACAAATTTGCAAGACTGAATTTGCTCTTTAAAAAGCAATGGGCTGAACTTGCTTTCTTTCATGCCTGCTGAAATCTAAGTGTCTAGTAGATTGTTAGTCACATTCTGCATATATGAAACATGTAAAATGAAAAACAGATAAAAGTATCTGATTTTATGATGTGCATTGGTTGTCTGTTGTATCATGCCCCCGAATACCAAAAAGCTAAAAGACTTTGTAGATGGTGTTTTGTTAAGCTTCTAGAGGAGACCAGATGAGAGACGATATAATAGGATCTATTCTCCACTCATAAATCCACACCAATCCAGGAGAGAATAGACCCCTAATGCTTGTATTCTTTTAAGCCAGCCCTTGCCTAAAGTTCACCCTTCCCTGAAATTTGACTCAACTGTTCAGCACATGTCGACCCTGCAGTAATGAATTGGCAAAAGCCTAATTCTTATGATGATTAATGGAGCTCCTCAGATGCAGCCTATTATTTCATCCAAAGTTAAAACAGTGATTCATCATTAATCACTATAAGAAATGGGCTCAGTGATTCATAATTCTAGCCAGTCCATTTCCTTGAGGGTCCCATTTGCCTTTTGTTATTCCAGAAGTGGCACAGTTCACAGCCTTGTGCTGCCTGCATTCTGACATGCACATTTTCTGATTAACTCTCTTTAAAAAGTCACGTACCCCAAGGATATTCACTTATAACCCCAAAGCCTCTGAAAAATCATACTTCTTTCAGATACCAGTCTTTTCTGGATCCAATTGCCCTCAGATTACCCAATTTTAAAAAAGAATCCTCACCAAGAGACTGAAAAAAGTAATCATAAATTAATAATCTTCAGAGCTACCTTTGGTCCTTGGCAAAGAGCAGTATTTGGAGTAGGGCTGCTTAAATTGAAATGTACTCCCCTTGGTTACCTTTTCATCACAACCACTCACTTACAATCAGATTGCCACTAGTAGCCAAGAAGAACAGAAACACAAACCATGCTTCACCATCTGACCCTGGCTCAAAGTCACTAACAAGGAAAGCATCACTGTTTTCTATGTGGAATCTTAATACATTACATCACTTGCCAGCCTGATGCTATTTTCTCTCAAATATACCTACTCATCCTGTGTAAGGATTTTACAATCTTCTACATTACATAAAGGAAATGAAAGCCTTCACAGAGTTATAGCATCATTGCCTGCCTTTCCTCGTGGTGGGCAGGCAGTGCATAAAAATCCAAGTTTCACTGCTGTCAGTACTGCTTTCACATTGCTCAGAGAGGTGACCTTTAGCCCTAGAGCCCACTGTTTGTCTTTTTTTGTCCTTATCTTCTCCTCCTCCTCCTCCAACTACCTGCTTTCTTTTTCTCTCCCTTTTCTTGCTTCTTTTCTTTTTCCCTCTCACTTCTCTCTTTTCCCATTTCCCTAAAATTTGTCCCCTCTTTGGGCATGGCAATAAATCCAAGATGACAGCTCAGACCAGCGATGACATTTAGAAGTAAAGAACTTGGGAGGGGCATGGAGCTTGTCACTATGGTCCATGAAATTCTTTCAAGAAGTTATACTCTCTAACCAAATCTATTAGGCAAGAAGATTAAGTGTCCTCCAGACTAGAAAGAAGGAAGTAAAACTATCTCTGTTGCAGATGACAGGCCTGGAATACAGAAAATCTTGAAGAATACACTACTAAAACTAATAAACAAATTCAGTAAGGTTGCAGGATACAAAGAAAATATACAAAAATTAATTGTATTTCTATACAGTTGTAATGAGAAAAATACAAAAGAAATTAAGACAATTCAATTTATAATAGCTTCAACAAAAATAAAATACATAGAAATAAACTTCACAAAATAAGGTTAAAACTTATACTCTGAAAACCATGAAACATTGTTGAAAGAAGCTAAAGAAGAACTAAATAAATGGAAAGTCATCCCATGATCATGGATTGGAAGACTTAGACTATTGTTAAGATGGCAATACTCTCCAAATTGATCTACAGATTCAGTGCAATCCTACCAAAAGCCTGGTGCACTTCTTTGCAGAAATTGACAAGAGAGGGGTAAGGAAGTTTAATCCCACAGAATTGCATAAAATTTTTGCAAGCAATATATTTGATAAGAGGTTTATATTGAAAATATGTATATTCAAAGAATTATTACAACAGTAATTACTATTACTACAATAAAAGACAACTCAATTTTTAAAAAGGAAGCAAAGGGTCCAAATAGATATTTTTTCCAAAGGAGATATGCAAAGTAGCCAATAAGCACATAAAATGATCAACATCATTAACATCAGAGACCTGCAAATCAAGACCACAATGATATACTGCTTTACATCCTAGGATGTAAATACTAGGATGGATAGAATCAAAAAGTGCTGGTGAGGATGTGCAAAAATTGTAGCTCTCATACTCTACTGTTGGGAATATGAAATGGTGCACTTTGGAAAACAATCTGGCAGTTCCTCAAATATTTAAACATTTGGTCATGTTTCAGTATGACCCAGCAAATCCATTCCTTAGGCATATACTGAAAAGAAATGAAAACACATGTGTACACACGTATTTGTACACAAACGTTCATTGAAGCATTTTTCATACTAGCCAAAAAATAGAAATGGCCCACGTCTATCTACTAAAGAATAGATAAATAAAATGTGGTATATCCATGCAATAAAATATTATACCACAATAAAAAGAAACAAAGTACAAACATACGTTACAACATGGATAAGCCTTGAAAACACAATGCTAAGCAAAGTAATCCAGCCAAAAGGACCATATACCTATATAAATGTCCACAGTAGGCAAATCCACAGAGACAAAAAGTAAATTAGTGGTTCCCTTGGGCTGGAGGATGGAGGGAGCCTATGGGAGGTTGGGAAGTGGTGGCTAAAGAAAATGAAGTTTCCTTTTGGGGTAATGAAAATTGGGGTTCTAAAATTGATTAAGGTAATGGATGCACAACTCTGTGAATATACTAAAAGCCACTGATTGTACACTTAAATGGGTGAATTGTGTATTATACGAATTATATCTCAAGCTGTTTTTGAGAAGAAAAAAAACAATTTTAAAGAAGTCATGACTTGCAAGTTGTGGCTTTTTAAAGCTATTGTGGATAAGACAAAGTAACTTCTCCAGAGCATCAAAAAATTTTAGGATGCTATGTGAAATTCTGGTGTAAATTCTAGTGTTGGGATTTATTCACTGATTTAGACCAGTCACTTGCTTTACTTGTATTATTTTTGCCTATGCCATGAAATAGTGATTCACAAAATAGTGATTAACAGCTCAAAGGGTCAGTGCCTCACAAAGCATTTTAAGTCATGGTCACTGTCACCGGTAGCAATTGTCACAGTCACTTGGCAAATTGTCTTGCCTAAGGAAAATACTCAGAAGGCCATCATCCCATTAAATTATGTCCTTCTAAGGAAACATTTCAGAAAAGGCCCTTTGGTCAACTATCAGACAGGCCCACCCTTTGTCATCTGCGCCCATGCAGTGGGACTCAATGAGATAAACCACTTTGGAGACTTAGAAAGGAGATGAGAGAGGGTGTCTCCTGTGTTTCAGGCTACCCTTTGCTGACCTTCCCACTGCTCTGAGCAAAACTGGAGGCTCATGAGTTACCAGTATCATTCAGTTCATCAATCAAAAAAAATAACTGTTTATCATCCCTTTTAAAATGTCCTTTTACCTATGGTGACGAGACTGCTAGATTTCCCTTTATACCCATATTCCTTTTCTTCTTGAGGAAGCTGCAAACCTTGCTGTCTGATAAACACTACACTCTCCACCTTACCCTGTAGGTAGGTGTGGCCATGTGACCAGGTTCTGGAAAATAGGAGAGAAGCAGGAATGGTGTATGCAATTTTCAAAGACTCTCCTTAAAAGGAAGAGGTGTGCCTTTTGTTTCCACCGTACTTGCATCCTGCTGGCAGGGGTATGGACATAACTGCTTCACCTCCAGCCTTAAACCGCGAGGTGGCCTTGGGAAAGGGAGCTTTGCAAGGTAGAGTAACAAGAGAGCAGGAGCCTGGGTCCTGAAGCTGTTCATGGACAGTTTGTTCCCAGACTTTTCCATGAGCGAGAAAGAAAGCTTTTGCCTGTTTAGACCACTTCTGTTTGGAGTGTTCAGTCACTGACAACCAGATCTTAATCCTAACCACTAGACTTGCCTATTCAAAAGTCTCTGGATGCCCCCAATTCTCTAAAATCAAAGCCCAACCTTCCTAGCCTGGAAATGTGCAAAAGAATTAAACGATGGTTGGACATGTGGACCATGAGGAGGGGAAAGGCAGTACAGGGATCATAGTCACAGAGCATAAACAGCCCTGCCCTATTTTCATGTTTGTGTCGCACTTCTTTGCTGCATGAGCCCTGCCTGTTGGCCAATAACCCATGTTTGGTCCACTCAGTATGCCCCACCTGTTTCTCCCTTTCTCACTTCATATCTTTCTATTTCCTCTCCTGGAATCTTCCATACCTCTCACTTAAATGCCACAGATTCTCATTTGGGGTCCAGCCCAGTTTCCATTTTCCCCTAAGTATCCCTAAATCTAGCATTTTTACTTACCAGCCCCTTCTCTCTGGGTTTCTATTGTGTTTATTGTCTGAGTTCTCAAACAGAACTATTACATTTTCTATCATATCTACATTACACTATCACATTAAATTGCTATGTGTCCTTTAAAGTATTTCCTTTTTCTCAAATAGATAATGATTTCCCTAGAACCAGAATTGTTTCTAGTGTGTGTCTGCATCCTCAGTAGCCCAGAAGAGTAGCTTGCACACATTAGGACTTCAGTAACTGCTTGCTGCTACTGTAAATGATGCCATTGATCCTAATAACAAACTTCGGCACATGGATAACCCTTGAAAGTTTAGCCTCATCGATCCCCTCAGCAAATTCATTCTCATCCTTCAGACCTGTCCTCTATGTGGTTGTCAAGAGATGCCTCTTGGAAGATTTCTCTGAGCCATTCGATCCAATTTACCCTGATTAGACTTTGTAAATACCTCTACAATTACTCATTATTTTGTATAGAAAATAATAGTTTGCTTGTTTATCTTTGCTCCTTAATTGCAAACTCCTGAAAGATAAGTATCATGTCTGAGTCACCTTATTCATGCTTGCACCCAGCCAATGGCTGGTTCATAATAGATACTCGATAAATGTTTGTTGAATAAATAAATGAGTAATAAATAAAGACAAAGGTCCAAGAAGGCTCATGACTTCCCATTGAATTTGCTACTCTGCCTTTGAAGCCAGTCTCTGGGGCCCTCTGACCCCAGGTCCCAGGCTTTCAGTGGCTCCTTGGACATTAACTATCCCCTTTGACACCCACCCTGATCAGACAGTGACCCCCTCCTCTAGTTCCACTAAAATGACAATGAAGTCCACGTGAAACCAGTCTGCATTCAGGTGAAACCAAGGAGAAAAGTTGTTTGTTGAACTTAAAAGACAGATGTTAGTCCTTCTCAGTTTCAAACTGAATCCTAACCCTTATGAAGTTCCAGTTTCATTTCTGCTTGGCCAAATGGAATTTCCTGATTCAGAAAAGTTAATGGGTCAACGTTAGAAGATTTTGAGGACTTTAAGGTTCTATCTAAGTGATTATCCAATTTTATTTTGCTGATTAATATACATGTCTCTTCTCCCTTAAAGAGCATTAGCTTTACACTTGAAGAAGCAGTAGTTTTGGATTTGGTTTTGGCAAGATACTCAGTTTGTTGCTTCACGCTGGTATTCAAAAACAGAAACAACTACCAAGACCCAGCTGTTACTGGCTTTCACTCCAGGGGGGAGGAAAGGTTCAGAGAGACAGACTGGGTGGAGCCTGAGTAGGTTCTGTTCTGTGCTCAGCTCTGACTCATGCAGCTTTGGGGACCTTGCTGAGGTCCTCTATGCCCCTATTTCCCTGTCTGAAAAATAGGCTGATCACGTTGCCTCCGATCTGTCTTCTGGGAGTGTTGCAAGGATGAATGAGTTAATAATGCGGGAAGAGCACTCTGAGCTTTGGGCGAAGGATACAGAGGAACAAAGTGCGGTGGTTCTCACACGTAAGTAAAAGCTCTCGCAGAAATACTGGTCCCCCAACACCACCATAACCAGAACTTAGACATAGCATAGCACCGCAATTCAAATACATATCATTTTCCTTAAAGGGAAATGTGAATCCGATCACATGACTACACTAAATTAACTTGTGTTATGAGCAGAGCCGTCATATTCACTGTGTGTAAACGTATGGTTCCATTATCTCCCTGACATGGTGGTTTTGTCCCAACCTCGGGCGAACATACACTGTGAGGGTGATTCTCACCTACCACACTGTGAGGTGACATTTATGAAGAACTTTTGGTGACTTCAGGAAGATCCCCTGCCCCCAAACCATTCTCCCATGCCACTGTGGCTTCTTGAAGTTCCTTTAATAGAAGACAAAACCCTTTGCAAATTATAGAGAAGACTTAAAATACAAACACTGCCGAGAGTGGCAAAGCAGAGAACCTGGCCTGTGAATTAAGCCCACCCCAGCCTAAGTGACACCCTCCACCCAGCACAGGTTTCAAAAGGGAAGAGAAAATATGACCTTGAGCTCAACAGTGGAGAGGAGGTCTTACAAAGTAAGAAAGGCTGGGCGCTGAAAGGAAGGACTCAGATCCCAGAGACAGTCACAGTCTCCTTTACAACCTCACACATCGCACAGTCTGCAAAACAGAGAGCTCGCTTCTTCCTCCAGACAATAGCCTCTGCTCACACTACCCTGCAGAAATGCACAAGCGTCGTGTGCTGGAAACTCTCGGGACTCTCAGCGAGCTGGGCTTCCATGCTAGTTCCTGAGGGTAAAAAGGTGCCGTGCTGTGAGGGCTCATCAGACACAATTGCACTCAGTGCACTTCCCCAAATGACCACGTGTCCTCATTAGTAGCAGCCTCACAGCACTTCTACTGCGTAAAGTGCTTTTTCAATAGATAACTTGATGTCTGAGTTGCAGACGTTAGAAAACAGATTTGCAGAATGGCGGTTAGGCTGTCCATCACCTCCACACAAGTCTGATACTGATGCTGGAGAACAGTGTGGTGCTAGTGGAGAGGACAGCGATGAACGGTCACATCCAGAGGAGCAGGTGGCCCCGTGGCTGCAGGTGTAGGAATCAAGAGACTATAGAGCCTGGCTCTTCAGCCTAAAGGGTAAAGCCCTGGGGGCCGCAATGACTTGCTGAGAGAGCGAATCCACTTTCTCTGTGTCATTCCAAAACAGAACCCAGCCCAAAGCCCAGCATATGACCACATTTAATCCAATGAAAGGACACATTTTCTAACGGCACTAACCCAAGTTGGAGTTAGCTGGCCTCTTCCTAAACTCAAGCAGAGATTCGTGAGAATAACTGAAGTCTTATTAAGTGACATTTTACAGTAAGAAGCACTATTACATCGCATGCTGATGTAAGGGGGGGTGAACTAAAGAAAAGCGTGAGGTGTTTGCATTACCAATTCAGACACTGTCTAACAAGTCACTCTCTCAAGGATACTCTTTCAATATTTATGTCTTATATACTATATAAATGAGTCTTAGAGAATCTGAAGATTCATTGTAAAGAATGTTTTCCTACAGAATATGGAGCTTCGTTTTGTATCCTAAAGCAAAATTAAGAAATTCAAATTAGTACAGATTCCGATCTTCTGAATTGTATGGAGAAGTGGGGAAAAGAAAAAGTTGTAGAAACCCGTGAGTTTGAAAATGGACACACAAGGCTGAGAACGGACCACTTTGGTTGCGCAATCCCCACTCCCTCCTGAAGGTGGCAGCATTTATTTACAGCTGTCGCATCCACAGTCGATGGCAGCTGGAGGCCGACTGGGTTGGGTTTGAGTTCCCCTGCTTCAGGTTTCAGAACATCCAGCGTAATCAATTAAAATCTTAATATCATTAGGTAACTGCCTTTACTGAAAAAAAAAAAATACATAGAAGTCAGTTCTGCATGACAAAGGGGAAGCAGCCTGCTGATTACATGCAAGATCATAGCTCAGTCAGACTTCCTGCCACAAGCATATTTTTAACCTTGACCATATATTGAATCCCTTATTTTTGCTCTGTTGAAACTACATGAATGCAACAAAAACTGTTGTTTACTATTCTTTGGTCATTCCCAAGTTTTTAGAAAGAAACTAATGAAGAAGTAGTTAATACTAAGCCAGGAAAAACTCAGAAAAGCTGTGAATTGTCTATAGCAGAGACCAGGAAACTGGGCTAATGTTGCTTTTTATAAACTAAAAAAAAAAATCTGAGTAATGGAATGAATTTCCTAAGGTATTAAAAATAAAAATTCAGATGTGCCTTAAAAAGCCAAACACTCCCCTTCCTGTGTTTGGGGGTCTCTGTGTTAATTTATTAATGTGAAGCTCCAGAGTAGGCCAGAGAACAGTGAGAACCAGATTCCAGCTGTCATTACATTCAGACTTTTGGAAAACTCAAAATGCATAGTTGTGTAAGATCCTCTGGCCCAAGTGTTCCCACCCAGCAGATCTGGATCAACCAGTAGGTCGCCTGGCTCCCTGGGGGATGGCCCTGTCAGGGCTGCCCCCTGGCCCTGCCTGCTCACCCTGTTTCTGTCCCAGGCTCCCAGCTGGGAAGAGGATTCTGAGCAGGCACCCAGAGCCTCACTGTCCTGCCCTGGGTGGACGTTCCCAGCCCAGCCCTCCCCCGTGCCCGGGGTCTCAATCCTCTGGGAAAACAAAAAGTTCTCCACTTCTGGGGGGGGGCTGTGTGCCTGTACTCGGGGGTCAGAAAGTCCCACTCTTTGGGGAATTTCCAAACCTTGTTGTTTGTTTGATTTCCTGAAACCTGCCTCCTGCCCCTAAAAACCAAAAGCTGTTTTGCATAGTTGTTTTTCTTTCCCTTTAAAGAAAAATTGAGTAAGTTTTGTTTTGAGAATTTCACAGCTCACCTAGACTTCACTGGACACCATGGTAGCGTGAAGTCAGCTGGGGAGTGACTTTTTTCAAAATTCAGTAAATTTGTTATAAATGCAGAAGGAGATAGAGACACCCAGTATTTTAAAGCTTGTCCTTTCAGAATTTTAACTAATGCTTAAATGGTGTTAGTTGAAGCATATTATAGAAAAATTATGAGGTTTACATAAAAAACATGGGTTCTTGTCAAGTTTCCCCAGTGTGTAGTCTTGACAAAGTTGCTGCATTGCTCTGCTAGGGCCACCATAACAAAATATCACAAGTTGGGCAGCTTAAATAACAGAAATGTATTTTCTCACAGTTCTGGAGGCTAGAAGTCTGAGATCAAGGTGTCAGTGTGGCTGGTTCATCCTGAGGCCTCCCTCCTTGGCTTGCAGAGGCTGCCTTCCCCCTGTATCTCCACATGGTCTTCCTCCTGTGTGTGTCTCTGTCTTCATTTCTCCTTATGAAGACACCAGTCCTAATGGATTAGGGCCTGTCCCAAAGATCTCGTTTCAATGTTAAGTACCTGTTTAAAGACCCTCTTTTCAAACTCAGCTACATTCTGAGGTACTGGGGATTCCGACTTCAGTGTGGAACTTGGGGGTGGGGGTGGGGACACAATTCAGCCTATAACAGTTACCCAACTTTTTGAACCTTATGTTTGCTCATATTTAAAGCAGAGAAGATAATAGTAATGGCCTCCATTTTCCTGAGGATAAGCTGATACCATGTTGTAAAGCACTTAGCACTGTGCGGAGCTTAGGCAGTAGGAGCTGCGGTCTCTACCATCTTCATCGAGGTGACAGCCAGGGCAACACACACATGCAAACCCAGCGTCGCTGAATCAGAAATGGGGTGGGGGAGGTGAACGAGAGAAAAAAGATGAAAATACGATTTCCACTCCTACTGCACCCCCCAATTCTGACACACAGGTATCACCAAGCAGAAGACCACTGGAGCCACAGGAAATTCCAGCAGAGGAGGGTCCTTTCGCAGGTCTGACCACTGGGACTCAACTCAAATTGGGTTTGGAATGAAGGCAAGAGAAGAGAGATGCATTTCCTTTCCTTCCACCAAGGGCCTGGTGGTGCACAGGAGCCCGAGGCTCAAGCAGAGGAGCAACGGCCAGATGACCCTGAACCCCCTGCTCGCAGGCAGCCTGCCTGGGATGAAGCTTTACATTCAGACCTCGCCTGGCAGAGACAAAGGCTGGCCTGTCTGTCTCTGCTTCTCCAGGGAAAACAGCATGGCCATTAACCCAGTCACCCCTGTGGTTGTGACACCTGATGCTGGCATTGCAGGGAGCTGCTGAAGCAGTGTTTCGAAGGCAGCCTCGAAAAGCCAAGCGAGAGGGGATGAATGCAGTGATTCCTCACTGGGAGGGAGGCAGCCCCTAGAAAAAGCAACCAAGCATGTGTGTTCCAGAAAGGAAGGGAAACGAAGATCAAGCTCAGCGCCTCCCTGTCTCTCCTTCCCCCAGCCTTCTCACAGTGCTTGAGTTCAATTTATGACATGCCACACTAAAGAGACTGCCCATAGATTTAACATTGGCATTTCCTTCATGCAGTGATCCTTTCAATCCCATTTGCTGTAAATTTCTTCAGACTGACATAACAATGACCTTACTTTATTCATGAGCACATTATAATGAGCTATTTTTTTCCTGGGATTTGGGAAAACCTTGAATAAGCCACACAGTTTTTGGACCCTCCAACTCACCGCATTTAGCCTGTATCCAGGAAGAATGAGATAGCCCTAGAGGCTAGATTACAGATGGTCACACTCCCCATTGTCATGAGAAGCACTGACAAGAGTGGCTCTAATCACAGGATTTCTCCCACACAAACAACTCAGACTGTCACCTGATTAAAGGCAAGGATTTGGTCATTTTTCAATGGGCCAATTTCAATAGGGTTGGTCTTTTTTCCCTTACATTGGTACACTTCATAAAGTTGTGTATAGTTGTCAGATGTAAAATGAGGTATATACATAAAAATATATTCTCTAGCACAACCAAAAAAAGGTTTTGAGATTCCACATGAAAAGCAAAGGAAAGGAGAGAAGTCAGTTTAGGATTAGATGTTTACCCATTTTGCAGTGAGGAGCCAAGGTGTTTCTTTCTCCCCACTGGTGCCGTCAGGGATGAGTCCTGTGCAGGCCTCTCCATGCACGGCCATCATCCCGCTGGCCCAGCTCCACCCACTGTATCACAGGTCCCAGCAATACCACCTGGTAAAAGCAAAATCATGGCCTCCCACAGGTGCCATGCCCAATCCCTGTAAACTGTGAATATGTGACAATACATGTCAAAGGGACTTACGGTTGTGAATCAGATGACCTCAAAATAAAGAGATTATCTGGGATTAAGGACAAAGGTGGAAGAGGTGGCAGGAAAGTCAGTGCCAGAGTGAGGTGACTGAGAAAGGCTGGACCAGCCATTGCTGGCTTAGAATATGGAGGAGGGTCAGTATGTGAGGGATGTGAGCAGCTCTGGACACTGGAAAAGGCAAGAAAACAAGTTCTCCCCTAGGCCCTCCAGAAAGCATGGCCCTACTGACACCTTGATGTTAGTCTAGAGAAACTCATTTTGGACTCCTGACCTTCAGAATTGTAAGACAATACATCTGGGTTATTTTAAACCACCAAATTTCTGGTAACCTGCTAGAACAGTAGTAGGAAATTATACACCACCTCTCCCTCCTGGCCCTCCAGACCTGGGAGGAAACAGCGTCTTGCTCTTGCTGATGGTCAGGTCTCCACCCCGCCCTTGTCTGGCTCTCTATCTTTTATCACACATGTAATCCACATGTCAGGCTTCCTGATAGGTTGGTGACTAACACAGGCACCATAAATTCAAACTGGTATTTAATCAAAGGAGCTCAAAGGCTAAGAGAAAAAAATCCTAGCCAATAAATCAGCTATCTCTACAACATAGATACTGCAATGTCTAAAGGTAATTTTCAAATGTTTCCATTTACAAATCTTTTTCAATAAATGAATCTGTATTTATTTATTTGTGACTGAGAAAGGCTGGACCAGCCATGTAAATGGACCAGCCATTTGCACTGACTCAATTTAAATGAGTTAACTGTTGTGTGCTCGGCATCTCTGATCAATCAATAGAAGAACATAAACGTGGGAAGGCAGGCCCCTGTGTGAAGAATTTTCTTCCTAAAATGGAAAGCTCACACATTTTACTTCAGTGTCTTGCCAGATCAGCCCAAACCTATCCTAAATAACCAGTGCCATCAAAAACACACTCACAGGTTGTAACCATGGCATTTTTCCCTACCAGGGCTTCATAGGAATATTAACAATGTGATCTTCTTGCCATTTTGGCAAAGGTAATGTTATGTGTCATGGTTAGTTTCTTTCCTAAGAGGCTGTAGGTCTACAGAGAACGGGTTTTTTAAATGGAGTCAGTTTAATTATTTAGTAAAGGCTGATGTGTTGAACACCAGGTAGAATGTGCTCATTACAGAGCATTTGTTTTAGAAAAGCTTTAAATAGCTCAGTTTCTTCTTTGTAGTTCTTTTAAGGATAGTATTTCTTTTGAGAAAAAGAAAATTCACCAATTATAATGAAATACTCCACCTGGGAAAATGTTCCCTCATTCATTCCTTTTCACACAGCTGCTCTATTCCTGAATGGACCAGAGCATTTCCAGACCCAGGCCCAACAGGTGCTGTATTAGTTTCCTGTTGCTGCTATAACAAATTCCTACAAACTTAGTGCCTTAAAACAATACATTATCTTACAGTTATCTTACAGCTCTAGGGGTCAGAAAACCAAAATGAGTCTCAGAGAGCCACAATCAAGGTGTTAGCAGAACTGGTAATTTCTGGAGGTTCCAGGGGCACAATCTGTTCCTTCTCTCATTTACCTTACAGAGGCTTCTGCCATTCCTTGGCTCATGGCTCTGTCACTCCAGTCTCTGCTTCATGTACCCTTTTCCTCTGTCTCTGACTCCACCTACTCTTCTCTTCTATAAGGACCCTCTTGAAAATATCAGCCTACCTGGATAATCCAGAATAATCTCTGATGTCAAGGTCCTTAAGCACATCTGCAAAGCCCCTCTTGCCAGATAAGGCAACATATTCACAGGTTCTGAGGATTAAGGCATGAACATACTTAGGAGGTCATTATTTAGTTTTCCACAGTCCACCCCTGATCAGGATTCCATAGATTCACACACATCCCACATGTAAAGTACATCACCCCCATTCCAAGGTGCCCAAAGGTCTTAACCCATTGTAACTTTAAATCCCAAATCTCATCCAAGTCTCATCAGCTCAAAAATCCCAAATCTCATCTAAATTGTCCAAGTCAGATATAGGTGAGTCTCTGTATATAATCTGTCCAGCAGCAAAATTCCATTCTTCTCATGAAATTAAAAATCAAGTTGTATGTTCCCAAAAAATAATGGTGGGCCATGCATAGGGTAACAATTATAGACACTGCCATTCAAAAAGGATGAAAGCAAAAGGAAGAAAAGAGTCTGTGGTCCCCAACCGATATCCCAACGCAAGTAGGCAAACTCCATCACACGTCAGGACCTGGGAATGATTCTCTGCGGCTCCTGGCCCTTGGTTCTACCCTCAGAGCCATCCTTTTTTCTAGGAGAGCACAGGTCTGCCACTGAGCGCTTTCATCAGCCTGCCTCCTACCTGTGGGGCTTGGGGAGTCCACCAGCTTTCTTTCCTCGCATCCTCTCTCTGTCCCTCTCAGTCCAAGCTGGCATGTTTCTGCTGATATAACACTCTCAAAAACCTTATGGGCTATTTTTCAGCCTGCCACAGATAGCACAAACAGGATAATTAATAAAGGGGAGTAAATGTAACTTCTGGTGAAGGACTAGGCTCTCTGTTACAAAACACTTGTACATAGAACAATCAGTCAAAGTTCTTAAATGTGGGTTTAAAGCATGTCAGGTTTCTAAATCTCAAGCTAGACACTAGAACATGATGTTATCTGAAAGACCTTGCAACTGTGATGTATCTCCTTAGAGAAAAATGAATGAGCATTATGGAGTCAAATCCTGCTGTCCAGAGGGTGCTGATGATGACTAGAGAATGATCAAAACACGAGGGAGGTGTTCAAATTACAGCCAGAGGTTTAGGGAATGCCTCCTCCCCGGATACCCATCTAAGGTCAGGATGGTACCTGCCTCCTGGGAGACTCTTAGTAACTTCTTCTGAAAGACATGGCATCCAGGGCCTTATTTCCTGAGTTAGAGCCCCCATTGCTGGCAAGTTGGACACTGAAGAAGTCATGCTCGAACAGTGCCTTCAGTTTCCATCCACTAACCCAGCAATAGGAAAAATAAGCCAGGAGCGACGCGGGCTTGCATACGGTCAGCTCGGCATCTCACAGGTGCATCTGGCAGTAAGAGCAGAATGGCCACATCTTGGGACCCAGATATGACTAACCCCAAAACCAGATTGACTTTCTCCCATAGAATTTATCATATATTTTGGTAAACCATTTGTTAGATGGAGTACAGATTAGAGACAGACGGAATGGCCCTTCCACCCTGCCTTTCCATCTGATTTCCACAATTCTAATTTAAAGTATAGAACTGGGTTAATTCATAACAATGATAAATAGGCCCATTAGCAATCATGAAAATGCAAGTTAGAGACAAAATGAGATGCCATATTAAACTACCAGATAGGCAAACATTTAGAACTCTGACCATACCAAGTATCACCTGGCATGTGTAGCCACAAGGACTCTGGACCTGGCATGAGAGGGTTCAGACAGAGGGGGGTGGTTGTAATTTAACTGAACTACTTTGGGAAACAATTTTGTGAAAGTTAAAAGCAATACCATACAATCCAGGAATATCACTCCTAGGTATACACACTAAATGAACCCTTGCGCATAGGCCCCTTTAGACATTTCAGGCAGTGTAATTATAATAGAAGAACTGCCAATAATCCAGGTATCGACAGGCAGGGAAGTCCATAAGTGCTTGTTATAGATTCACAAAATGAAGAAAGCGGCGTAGAAGAAAGCGGAGGTGGAGGAGGAGGAGGTTTAGCGGATAAGATGGTGTACAGCAGTGGGTAGGAAGAAATTATAGCTACACGCTTCCACATGGATGAATCTTAGAAGCTCAAGAGCAAGTGAAATAAGTCATAGAAAAACACATACACATAGTTTGATATCATTTAATAAATTTCAAATCAAACAACACATTATAGAAGACTAAGAAATATAATAGAACCATAAAGGAAAGGAAGCTAATGAAAATAAACCAAAATCAGGATACTGGTCAACTGGGCCTAAGAGAGCTAGGCATATTCTATTTCCTCAGTCAAATAGTGAGTTCATGGGGGTTCAATTTATTATTAATATTTATTAATTTAAAATTAATAATTTATATTACATATTTTGAAAGTAGTACCAGCATACAACTGATAAATTCTCCCACTGTACTTTTATTTATGTATTCATTTTTGTTGAAGTATAGTTGACAAAATATTACATTAGTCTCAATTGTACAACATGAGGGATTAAACATTTATATATATTACAAAGTGTTCACCATAAATGTAGTTAACATCTGTCACCATAGAAAAATACTACAA